CTGGCTTCATAGAATGAATTTGGAAGTGTTGCTTCCTCTTCTATGCTCTGAAATCGCTTGAGTAGTACTGGTACAAGCTCTTCTGTAAATGTTTTGTAGAATTCTCCAGTGAAGCCATCTTGAAATTTTCCTTTTATTACCATAAAAGGCCAAACCAAACCCATTGCCATTGAGTCGATTCCAACTCATAGCAACCCTATAGGACAGAGTAGAACTGCCCCATAGAGTTTCCAAGGAGCACCTGGTGGGTTCGAACTGCCAACCTTTTGGTTAGCAGCCGTAGCTCTTAATCACTATACCACCAGGGTTTCCTTTCTTAGCATAGGATCTTTGAAATAAGTGCATAGATTCTAATACATGTGACCACACTTATGAATGTCCGTTGAGTACCAAATACTCATGTCTACAAGAAAAAACAGTTACTGTACTTAGAAAAGGGACCAATAACATAGAAAGCATTCAGATTTTTTCCTTTTTATGGAGTTCTAATAGAAGTTCTCAGTAAGAAAGAAGGTGAAGAGAAAGCTAAGAGCAGAAGAGTGATGTGGGATTCTGTTGCAGAAAAGTGGGAGGAGGGATAACTCCCTGGATTTTAAATATTGTTACCAAGGATTTCTTCTCACCCAAAGAAAATAAAATTATAAATCTTACTAATTGCTGAATGGATTTCCTTTTCTTAGTCTCTCGATTTCATACTTTTAAATTCTGTACTTGAATTTTGGAGATGTTAACTCTGTCCATTATTGACAAAATATCCTCTGGATAGGGGAATACTATTTTTTTTCCCCTTTCAGTTTTGATGCTATTAAAAGAAAAATTTAGATTATCTTTAATTAAAAAGAATTGCAGGAAATTATATTTCTTTTGAAGATTTTTATGTACTAGTTTCACTCTTTGGTTGGAAACTAAATATTTAAAATAAAAAATTACATGCATTTCCTCTTTTTGCCATCTTTAGTGAATCAGAGGACTACTTATTTTGGTCCTCTTCAGAGGAGTAGCTTAGAAAAGGGCTCTCTAACATTTTAGTCATCTTTCTTGGGTCCAGATATAAGAGGTAGACCTTTGTTCGATGGAATTTTCTCTCCTGCATTTTCCTGGTTTGCTTTCTTAGACTTCCTTTTTCTATTTCCTCCACACAGATTGGTGAGGAAATGAGCCAGAACAGTTTCATAAAGCAGTATCTGGAAAAGCAGCAGGAGTTGCTTAGGCAGCGTCTGGAACGTGAAGCTCGAGAAGCTGCAGAACTTGAAGGTAAGCTCAGACTGTCAGTTCTTACAAGGAGTTCTTCATTCTTATCCCTGTTTCCAGGTAGATGGGCTTGTCTAACTAGGCAATCTCAGGGATAAGTCAGGCTGAGACTGCTACTTATTTGCTTTGGTAGTTTGTGGACCCAAGTGAGTTACTGTTTACGTTTTGTCAGGAAAGAGACACTTAATTTAACTCTCTTGCTAGAAGAGGATTCCTGCCAAGAGGAAGAGTTATAAGTAAATGA